AATTATCTTCTGGAAACTGGATCACTTACACTGTGCCTTACACCAAATATAAGAAGAACCTTCCATTAGTTACATATTTTCATAGTGCATATGCATATATTAAATTTGGATGTGTGCATCTGTGTGCTGCTGATCATTCTGAGCTGACCTCAGTTCATGTTTCCCCCAGCAGAGTTTCTCCTTGGCAAAGCTAGGTCACAGAAAGAAATGGTGAAAATTAGGAATCTGGGCCTTGGTGCTATATATAACAATTAGATCAGGCAACTTGTAAAAGTAGATAATATGACAGTCTTGAGAAAATTGAGTTATGTAGATAATGTAATGATGTACTCATTCAGCTCTTATCTGTTGGTGCTGGGCTACATGGGGAGAAACGTGAGCAGCAAAGAGATTGGGACTGTGCATTTCTCCAGCACCAAAATTAGGCCTTGCAAGCGAAATAAAATAGTTACTATTTTGCATATAATTATATGTGGCTTGATAAGCATTTAAAAGGTTCACTGAATGTTGATTATTTCTAGATTTATTTATTTTTTTTATCCTTATTTCAGACATTTTCCAAAATGGATTAATGGCGTTTCCTGAAATTTAATCTGCTGATGTGTTATGAGTACATTATCAGGCCTGACATTATCAGCTGTACAGGGCTCCTGAGCAGTCTGGAAACTTTAGAGTAGAGTAAACTGATCCTCTGCAGACATGATGTTGGTCTGTTTAAGTATCTTTAGTCTGGCCTTCTTGCTTGATGATAGGTTTGGAGAACAATTTTAGCAATTTTAGCAATTTTAGCTCCACATAGAGTTAGCATGGTGCTTTGATGATGGCTTGCTGAAAGACTGGCATGTTTAAAAATAAATAAATAAAAAGCTTACAGTCACGTTTAAATTGTGACACATGATTCCAAAGGCAAAAGACTTAAGTATGACTCACTAATCTCTGGTCAGAATAGGTGAAGTGGGTGTGTGTATATGTGGCCTCGGGGAAGAGAAGAGAAACTAGAGATTGTTGAGCTGTTGGAGATGAAGGTTTCCCTCTAGTTTTCTCACTGACTTCTCATTTGCCAAAGCTCTCTGCAAAACAGCACTCTTACTTTAAGTTGCATCTCCCTATTAGGTGTAGCTCTACTATGAGAGCCAGTTAGCCTGCACATCACACTGCTTATTGTCTCTTTGTGGAACACAACGTTTGGACATTCTTTTATTCAGGTAAGATGAAGATTTTTTTGGCTATGCCAGTGTAGATTTAAAACAGAATATTTATTTGAGATATAGGTAAAAATGTAACTTTTTCTCAATGTCGATACCACCCTGTTATTTATTTAGAAAATTTAGAACAAATTAAGTTGTTGACTTTCATACAGATCCAACATGATTTAATTACGTTCACAATAGAAACATGAAATTATTTTGTTCAAATTACAAGTTAGACTTTAGTAAATGTAACAACCACCCAATTTCCTTATTTTCAGGTTTCCAATAAACCTGAAAATATTGGATACGATTTTCAGTGTACGTATCAGGGTTTCAAGGCATCAATAAAACACATGGAAGTATTGTGCAGATTTTAGTACCAAATATTATTTAAAACTATCATTAAAACTACTACTAGTAACAGTTATTTATTTAGACTAAAATCACATGTTTAATCACATTATAGACTAAATTAATGGAATGAGCACTGGCAAAACTGAATCTCGGCAAACTATTGGGAAGCATGTACTTTAACTTAATACAGTAAACACAAAATAAAAGTGTTTTTTAAATGCCAAAAACTACCTTGCTTTGGGAAAAGAAAAATGCAAAAACTAGTTGTTACACACTGAAACAACTAGTGCAACAAACTCTGCAGTAAAATGAATGATTTCTATATTAAAAGACAAACATGAAGCGCTTGAAAACATTTCAGGAACTTTTTTATGAGCATTGTGTAGCTAATTGAATGTCTACACTACAACTACACCAATGTATATC